GTACAACGCGAATACAAATTGCGGGTTCTTTTCTCACGCGCGTAGCCACGAATGTGTTGTCGTTGCCGTCATGGCGGCTTGCGCCGTGAGAGTGTGTTTAATCGCGTGTCGATTTCACGCCAGATACGCATGCGATGCGTATGTGCAGTGCTCGGCGTTGTAATTGAACGCGCGATTTTGCCATTGCGTGGTTATGTGTGTGCGGGTGGGGGTGGAGGGAGGCTGAAAGAGAGCTGACGCACGCGCCATCTGCCACTATCCTTTCTCGTTTGTCTGCCTGCCGCTGACGTTCGATTCGTTGCTGGCGGTTCGGAGCTCTAGCGTCTTGCCCGTGTGAGTCTACGAGGATATATTTGTTACAGTATAGGAGGTGCGGTGCCTTTACACTGTAGGGAGGCTGTCTGTCGCGCAGCCAAACGCCTCATCGTTTAATGAAGCCATTTCGACTTCCGGCAATGCGGGTGCCGGCAAAGTCGTAAAGCTGCTCGCGGGATCTTGCTCAGCTGCCGCCGTCGCTGCTCGGGTCGCCGCGAATTTTACGGGGCTTCTTTCGACGCGATTCGGAATTTTATGTATATAGCGGCGGCGACGCGTAAATTAGTTGCATCCGCCGCCGAGGTGCCACACGTGTGAAGCCGTACAGTGGGTGATGGTAGTAGTAGCAACAGCAGCAGCAGCAGCAGCAGCAATAATAGTGTCATCATCATCATCATCAGCAGCAGCAGCAATAGTGTCATCATCATTATCAGCAGCAGAAGCAGCAATAGTGTCATCATCATCATCATCATCATCAGCAGCAGCAGCAGCAATAGTGTCATCATCATCATCATCATCAGCAGCAGCAGCAGCAGCAATAGTGTCATCATCATCATCATCAGCAGCAGCAGCAGCAATAGTGTCATCATCATCATCAGCAGCAGCAGCAATAATAGTATCATCCTCATCATCAGCAGCAGCAGCAATAGTGTCATCATCATCATCATCAGCAGCAGCAGCAGCAATAGTGTCATCATCATCATCAGCAGCAGCAGCAATAATAGTATCATCCTCATCATCAGCAGCAGCAGCAATAGTGTCATCATCATCATCATCAGCAGCAGCAATAATGGTATCATCATCATCATCAGCAGCAGCAGCAATAGTGTCATCATCATTATCAGCAGCAGAA